AGAGGAGGAGCAGGGGTCATGACACCATGGTGACGGTGGGCTAAGTCCCTCCTCAGCCCCCCACCTGGAAGAGGTTGGTGCTGTTAGCAGAAGCTGTATTTCATGGCAGGGGAGCTGATCATCTTATTAGCTCCCCCACCGTGAAGTGCAGCCTCTGACACCACCACTCTACACCTGCCTGAGGCTACTATGTTCATGTTAAAAAGTGGGAGGGCCGTGACGCCCCTGATTTCCCACACCCTCCAGTTCCAGAGGTCCAATATTCTTTGTACCAAGGGCCCCAATAAATCTTAATCCCCTTTGCATAGGCCTCTGTTATGCAGCTAGATGATGACAATGGACCCTTCTGACCTTAAAATCTATTAATCAGAAAGTTCCATAGAATGTAATAGAGACTAAAACTTTCTATAGGTTTTGTTTTAAACTATCCAATAAATGTAATGGAAAACTGTATTACAGACTGTAGATTTTAGAGTACTTTTTACAGTACTTCATTATGTTTCTATGTAACCCTATTGGTTTCTTTTCTAAGCTATTAAATTTTACAAGTCTTTGTCAACTGTTTGAAATGGGTCATCCTGATTACTACTAAAAAAGTGATTTTTCCTCCTGCTGATGATAGCCCACTTTAATTGATTTGTCTCATTAGAGTTGGTAAGGCAACCCCCATCTTTTCATGTTCTCTGTGTGTATATATATATATATCTTCCTACTTTATTTTCCACTCCAGGCATCTAATGAAGTGGGTTTTAGCCCATGAAAGCGTATGCCCAAATAAACGTATTAGCATCTAAGGTGCCACAAGTACTCCTCGTTCTTTTTGCTGATACAGACTAAGGGCTGGTCTACAATGCCGCGCTAGTTCGGCGGCTGGGGATCGAAGTTCCGAGTTCGATTTATCACGTCTGGTCTGGAACTTGCTTTGATCTGCCGGAGTGTGCAGCCCCGCCCCCCCAGAGCACTGCTTTACCGCATTATATCCGAATTCGTGTTCTATCGGGTCATGTTCTATCGGGGTAGAGGTGTATGTTACCTTAGGAACAGTTAAATTTGAAAATAATTTATTTTAGAACTGGCTGAATCCAAATATTGCTTCCTTATATATTCTTTGGAGTGGAAAAATAAAGCTGCAGGAAAAATGTGTGAGGATTCATTTTAGAGAGACACATATGAAATAATTTTAAAATATTAACCATTCATTTACTACACTTGCAAAGTCTCTAATGTTAAAGGTGACTTCAAAAAGATTAGTATTTTCCCCTCCTGTATATATTCAGGAACTGTGCTAATATTGTCAATCAAATTTTGGGTCAAAATGCAGATGCTGTCTCCCATTAAACTTAAGGAAAAACAGCACCTCTCTTGTTCAGGACAGCAGCAGTAAGTATGTTCATAGATGAAAAAGCATTTGTCATTGTGGATAACCTGTGAAATACAAGGCTTTTAAAAACAGTATCTTATTACCATTTCTGAGTCTGGTTCTGAGGCAGCCATCTTGCTGGAAGGGGATGTCAGACATCTTGTTGACAAAATACAACAGTTTTGTTTTTCCATGCTATATAGAATAAATAAGGTAG